GATTTCCACTCGTGTTCTATACAGTATAGCAATGCTTTTCAAATACAGTTTTCTATCCTCCCCGCTGTCCACAATTAGCCTAAATGTCCAAGCAACGCGGGATCCAGCCTCCATACTCCTCTGCCCTTCCACGAGAACCTATTATATAGATGTAAGCACCGAACAGACGCCTGTCAGGCGTGTACCATTGAATTTTGACCTGAAACTCCAGATTCCAGCTCATCTGCTCCTGGCTGATGGTTATCAAACACTAAACTAACAACGACCGGGAAAGACTGGAGTTGGAAGCTACCTTGGTGAATAGATTTGGGCAGAAATTCCTTCCATGCGTGGTTCAAAACCTTGCTTTCCCCATTATTTTAAGATCTCAAAAACAAACACTACCGAATGATCAATATAGTTCATCTTCTATAGTGCGAGCATCTATATTTTTATTTTCACTATAAACTCCTACACTGAGACTCTTATAAAGTCACGCAGTTCCTGTTACATGAGCTTTTTCAAATAATGCTCCTAATTCCACTCGTTAGCAAAAGGGGACTTGTACAGGCATAAAGTGATGAGCTTACTGGCTTATGGCTAGTTTCGTAGTCAATGTGCACAAAGGCACGTTCGATGACGGGCAGCTTCTCTAGCTTAATCTGAAGATCCTCCGCCACGTCATGTGCTACTTCAACTCTCTCATTGCGATCAATAACTATGTCGACCTCTGCAACAAGCCGTGGGCCCGAATAGTAGGCCCTGACTGTATCGACCTGTTGAATAAGCGGCGAGTGCGTCATAGCTGAATAGTTAGCATTCATGCTATCAATCGTTGGAGAGGCTCACTAACAAATATATGTGATGAGTTGTAAGAGATCCTTTTCCGCAGTGACACCGATCATTAGTTGGAATTCATCGTAGGCAGTATGGAGCCAGAGGCCAGCGATGAGAACGGATAAGATGATGGCACCCATCGGATCAATCCACCACTTCAGTTTAGAGCCACCGACAGATGTGAGAATACCGAAGCCGTTGATAAAGAGATCATTTCGGTGATCGCGCCAGAGGATGTCAACTTGACTATAGATGTCTTTCACAGTCCAACACAGGAAGAAAAGTCCCAGCTTGGTAGCAAAGGCGACAGTCACGGCAATGACCGAGGGCAAATGAAACTTGTTAGTCTCTTCCTCTGATCCGGCAGCGAGGTCACGAGCAGACATGACAATGAGGACCAGCGAGACGGAAAACATGATGAAAGAAAACACGATATTGCCAGCGGTCGAGATGCGGGCTCGGCCTGAGGGGTATTTAGTCGGATCGACTTTGTTGACGGCCCGGTGTGCCATGTACAGCATGATGCCGGACATGGGGTCGAACACAGAGTCGGCCATGGTAGTGAAAAGCGATAGGGAGCTGGATGAGATAGCGCCATACAGCTGGAGACCCGAGAGTATGATGTTGGCCACCAAAGAACCTTTGACGCAGATGCCATACATGAGTGTGTTGGCACCGTGAGCGTCTGTAACTTCCTGCTCGTGCTCCTCTACCGACTTTAGCATTGCCCGGATGCTCTGATTCTGCGTTTCATAGAACTCCTTGAGCGGGTGATTCTTCTTAAGGCCTAGATGACGTTTGCGTGAGGTATTGGCTCTGGGCATGTCGGATTCGAGCTTGATGTGTGCGGAAAGACCTAAAGGATCGTCGATATTATGTTGAGCCTCGACATCCTTGCCTTGGACATGAGCGCGAGTATGAACTGAACTCATAGCGATCTTGTCTGTCTGGTCGGACATGTTATGTATTAAGTTTTACAAAGAATAATAAGAAGGCAGAAACAAAAAAAAAAAAAAACAGACGAGATAAGGGTGTAACAGATGGCAGACAGAACGAATCAAATGACAGGCGATTGCAGGTTTTGTTCCATCCCAACGGAGTCATCTCGCCGGAGATTCATTGCTGCCCACATAATACTGGCCTCTGGGCACGGTGACCACACCGACGTTAGCATGTACCACTCCATACGCTAGTCACGTTAGGCTGACCTGGTTGACCAGCGCGTCAAGTGCGTAATCGTGTCTGCTCCACAATTAGCCGGTGTTACTAAGATTCCAGATAAAGTCTATCTCAATTAAGGATATGTCTGTCTATTAATAGTTAATAGTATAGACAATTATTACCTGGAGTTGTTATGTACTGCTTCTGTCACAAGTGAGTTTTTATTCCTTTTTTGTAGCATGATAAGTCCCAGAAGAGGGGGTCAGAGATGGAAAAAGAGCGATCTGCAAATGGTGGGCTCGGGCTTTAGGCAATAATTTGCCCGATGAGATTTGGATCTGACGGAAACAGTCAAACCGCTTAGTAATAGGAAAGCTCCGTTTCCGGATCCACCATTGCACTAAATCTAGGCCAGATCAGGAGTAGTTTGTTCTAGTTAAGCTTCTTCCTGGCCCGTTTAAAAAAAGGGTGATGCATCCAAGCTTTGGAGATGACGACAATCTCACATCTCGGTGTCTTGCGATCTTTTAGCTTTTTTATTTTACGAGGCTCTTGATTTTTCTAAAGGGCCGTCTGACTCACTATGTGCCTGATAAGCGGTGTAGGCCAATTTCTACACTGTACTTATGAGCCCCTATTTAAATCGGCTACCCTACTGCCACTCTACTTTTATTTATTTACAGTTAATAGAGGTTATCAAAGTCGTGATTTCAGTACAATCTTTGCTCTGATACTTATGCATTAGAGAATAAATAAAGTATATCGGTATCCAATGCCTTGGCCTCATTGCCTAAAGCCAAAGCCGGTGGTGCGACAAAACAAACCAACTTGTTTCGCAGAGAAATAATGGCTATCTTAACAAAATTCCCCAATCTCCAATAGATGACAGCGTTGATACCACGTTAGGTCTCTCGAATTCAGGCTGTGCATAATAAAAACCCACTGTGTCATCCCAACCAAAGACAACTTAGGCATATTTTCTTCGTGTAATATTCCTTTTGGGGCTGCCTTATTGGCTTCCGTTGTTGGACCAGGTTCCAGCTCGCTAGGATCTACCCCCGCGTTACGGTGCCGGATAGCCGAGATCTACTTGCTGTGCAACGGTTCCAGATCATTATTACACGTAGCTAGCGAGATCATGGACCACCATTGCTTCGGCGCAATAAAAGCCACACGGCCGAAAAAGCCTGCTTTGAGTTTGTCTGACCAGCAATTTGTATATCTAGATCGCTCCCCTCCTGGAATTGCTAAGAAATCGTTTTTCTGTGGCTTATATCAAAGAGCTGTATAGTTTTTGCAAAAGCTTCCAGAAGGTTAGAAGAATACCCCTATCGAAGACTACTCGCAAACGTCAGCGCACCATCCTTCACGACCCGTTTATTCTAACACTCCATTATGGAGGAAGTTAGCGACCCTTTTAACCTCACATCCCGACGACGCCAAGACGTGACAAAAGAACAAATCAAGAATGACTATCCACAAGGCGATGCGCGATTGCTTCGAAAGTACTATACCCGACAGAACAAGCTTATAGACCAATTCCTTGGCGTCGATGATGAAGAGAGGGCCCAGGCTGAAGAAGAGGCTCGAGTAGCGGGCAAGATCAAGTTTGCAGTCAACGCATCCTTTGTAGTCAATTTTTGCCTTTTTGTCATTCAACTGTACGCCGCTATTTCGACGGGATCACTGGCGGTATGACTATAAACCCTTCTCAAAATGGTTGGCATCTAATTCGGTTTACAGCTTTTTGCCACGGCAGCAGATGCTTTTGTAAGTAACGCTTGCTCGTCAAGTAATGTGATCTAACGTTGGCGCAGATGGATCTTGTGTCATCTTTTGTGATGCTCATCACCTCATGGCTAGCAGCGCGACCAAGCATCTACAAATATCCTGTCGTATGTAGTGTTATTCTCCAAGTCAACGACGCCTTGCTGACGGTATCCTAGGGTCGGACGCGGATTGAAACAATTGGCGTCATCCTTTTCTGTGCCCTCATGACAACCGTCGCAGTCCAGCTTCTGATAGAATCGGCCAGAACATTGGGCACTGGCAAGACCGAGTCTGAGGAGCTACACTTAATACCCATTATATTTGTTTGTGTTGCTAGTGAGTTGACCATCTGAGGCCCAACACGCAATTTCTGATGGTGTTCCAGTCTTCAGCAAGGCGTCTCTCATGATGTATTGCATGACGTACCGCAAGTATCCATCGGTTCATGTGTTCTTTGTAAGTCCGACGCAGGCCGTGGCGACTACTTTGCTGATCATCTGGTAGATCGACCACCGCAACGACATTGCTGTCAACAGTTTTGGCCTTATCATGTCGGTTGTAGGCGACAAGTTCATCTGGTACTTGGACCCTATCGGTGCTATCTGCATCGCACTTCTCATCCTCTTCTCCTGGATCTCTAATGCATTTGAGCAAATATGGCTATTGGTCGGGAAGGGGGCGCCTCAAGAGTTTATTGCCAAGCTGATCTACATGAGCATAACACATGACGACCAAATCTCCATGGTCGAGACGGTAAGCGGAAACACCAGATGCACTCATAAATAACTAACAAAGGAAAGTGCCGCGCGTATCATGCCGGGCAAAAGTACTATGTTGAGGTTGATATAGTCATGGATGAACAAACATCCCTCAAGATTAGCCATGATGTTGCTCAGTCACTACAGCGAAAGATTGAAGGTAAATTTGTTTTATTGTCCTTGCAGACCGGACAAATATGCTAATATATTTGCAGGGCTTGGGGATGTTGAGCGGGCATTTGTCCACGTTGATTATGAGTGTGAACACAACATTCACGAAGAACACAAGCCACTTTATGACAGGAAGGCTTAATGCAAGGAAGATTTGGGCATTGATGCAATTTGAATTCATCAAACGACGAAAAGCCTCGTGTATTTATAACTTCATCCAATATACCCTGCTGCTATGCCCTTTCTTATTCTTCAAACAGCTCCTCCACAAGAGATAATCGTGCCTAGAGACAGCGACCAGTATTTGCAAATGTCCTGCTAGGCTTACTTTATCTCCTTGATCCTCTCATCCTCGGCGTTCTTGTCCTCAATATGAGCCTGTCTAACATGTTGATTAGTAGCCTTGTCATCTAAACCGTCTGACCCAAGCTTCTCATTCTCTGCCTCTTCATTCTCCTCTTCTTCAATAGCCCTCTTATATAGGCCAGCTTTGATATCCCGTCTCCAGAGAAATTGACCTGCCATAAATAGAGTAAGATAACAACAGGTGAGACCGACGTTTGCTGAGAACCCCTTGGTCCAGCGAGGACCTTGGGTGATGGGGAACGCGACAACGTTATACCAGGTGAAGAAGGCCCAGCCGACAGTCATCTAAGCACTCGTTAATTTCGAGAAACAATGGGTTACATGAATGATCAACTTGCCATGGCACCAGTAGTAAAGCTCCTTGCTTCATTGTCGTCCTTCATGATTAGATGCACCCAGGGGAAAAGCATGGGGGTAATGCAAGAACTCATGCCAAGGAGGAAATATGCGGCAAAATGTAAACCGAGAGGAATGTTCCAAACTAAAAGGGCCGAGTGGCAGAAGAGAAGGACAGTTCCCGCGAAACAAAAAGGCACCCAAATCGGATACACCCTGTAGAAAATGTGAGCTCGCTACGTAAAGGCTGGTAAGGCTGATGGAACTGACATAACAAACGAAGGTACGGTGATACCGACCACAATGGCCAGTGCTTGGACTCCAGTTGGTAGGATGTTAATCATCTCCACAGAGTACTGGCCAGTAGACTTTACCCAGACAATCATCTGGCCAGCAACCCAAGTAGTCAGTTGAAAGCTAGGGGTTTCGTTAGAACAAGGGCTAAAGTGGTTCGAGTCAAGAAAGTATGTCACTCACCAGACATAGGTGCCGACAGCGATGTAAAAGTGCCACTTACGAAAGACGCGCTTCAGCATCTTCTTGCCAATCTTCTTGCTCTTCCTCATCCCATCGTCTTGCATACGTGCTTGAGCAAGCTTTTGGTCGTCTTCACTGAGCCACCAGACACGAGGACTAGTAGGCACACCTGGATAGAGAAAAAAGCCGACAATAGCAATAGGCAGAGAAATGATGCCATCAATGATAAAGACCCAGCGCCTGAAGTTACAAGAGTCAGAGCCGCGAGAAATAGGGAACAGATTCCCGTCAACTTACCAGCCCGCCATGCCTCCCTTTCCGTCGAGACCGGCATGAGCGGCAGCTTGCATATAGCCACCAAACATGGCACCGATATTGCTCGAAACATACCAGACTCCAGCACGCTTGAACACCTCATCAGACCGATACCAGGAGGAAAGAACGTATAAAGAGCCAGTAGCAGCAGGAGTTTCGAACAGCCCCATAAGGAAACGCATGCCATAGATCATCGGTGCGCTGTTGTTCCGGCACTGAATAAAGGTAATAATGGACCAGAGAGTTTCACAGATGGGCAGAACCCAACGAGCGTATTTGGGACGAGAAATGAGCAGCATGCAGGGAATCTCCATCACCAGGTAGCCTATGTTGTAGAAGGTAGAGAATAAGTTGTACCTGGATCGAGTCAGACTTGAAACTTAGAGGGATATGACCTACTGACTCGATCCCTTTGAGATTAAGCTCTTCTTTCATACCCGAGTTATAAGCATTGTTAATATTGGACTGGTCAAGCCACTTGATGAAGTCTATCAACTGTTAGCGCTACTATTACTAATAAATCCCAATTTCATGTCAGGACTTACACATAGAACAACTAAACGCGAGTCATCAGTCAATCGTCTCAATTAAAGAATGCTTGGACGTACATCAGGGGCAGAATGGTACGATCTAGCTTTCTGAGAAGTCGCTTCTCCTCCTTACTGTAATGACCAGGGTACCAATTGAAGATGTAGAGCCAGGCGAGCCAGACACTCTTGGCCTCGGGCTTGGTCGCCGAACTGACGACAACCCCATTCTTGATTACTGGCTCAGGGATCTCTTCGGGGCTATCAGCGACATCTCGGCGAGTCTCGACCTCCTCATTCCTGGACTGGAACTCGGGCCTATTGTTGGTCCTCGATTGAGAATTCATGGCGATGAATTCAAGGTAACACTGTTACAATGTGGTCAGTTTAGATCATACCCTTAGATTGAGACATGAGCTGATGCAACTTGACTATAATGATCTTCTTGTCCGTCTACTTGTATCTGTCGATCGCGTGCTTATCCGCATTACCCCGCATGCCCGTCCCCATGGGGTCACCCCAGTTGGAGGCTGGTCTGTCACCAAAAAGCCTTCGGGGCAAATGCGTCGGGGCAATTTTCTCGGGTAACGGAGGATATACAAGCTTTAACAATTGCCAAGTCTGTGGGAAATCTGGCGTAGTTTACCGTAAGCCGAGTTGTGAATTGGACTTCTATGCGAAAATCCTGTTCCGTTGCTGCTGTCGGTGGATGCTACACCGAAAGCCGACTGCTGCCATTCGCGACCCTCAACACACCAAACCCTGATTCTTTGTAAACAATTGGCGATTTGTAGTTGCTGGACCTTAATAGGAATATATGAGAATTACATTGACTATACTATACTACAAACCTTCAGAAGCACCCGCTCTCGTGTTCAGTGCCAAAGATGCCATCATCAAAGCTAATAATGCGATCCATATCAATAAACTCGGTATCAAGGAGCATCTGGGAAATCATCCCCAAATCTCCGCTTCCTACACTACAGCTTTTTTGCCCTTCTTGGTCATTGGCCATGCTAGAAGTCGTACCAGGGTAGTACGCGTTGGCTGATACATTCGCCGTGAATGAGGGTCCCCCATTCTCTTCGGCTGGATGTCTAACGGTTTGATGACCTTGAAATCTCGGAGCCGCATTCAATAGTTTTGAGACTGACCGAGAGTGCTTAACTTCTGTTGTATAAGCCGAAGGGTTAATATTGAAAGATGCTTCTCGAACGCATCGAGTATGCAAGTCAACAAGAACAGCCTGATACTTGGATGCAAGATTCTCCTTAGGCCCAAGCTGATGGGGCCCCGCCCATCGTTCAGCCATGGTCTCTAGGTTTTGTATCAATACCCAGAACTCGGATGATAAAGATTCAGTTGCATGACACCGCCAAAGTAAAAGCAGAACTCTGGCCGCAAGGTATACACAAAAAGAATATTGATTACTGAGAGGCCCTATATGCTCAGCAATCTGCAAGTAATGATTCGTTATGGTGGCGATCTCAATAGCAGCCGCTTGGCAAGTATCGAGGCTACAGAAACTTGGTAGTCTTGTTCGGAAAGTCCAGTCTAGAGGAGGAAAGGCGATGGGCTGATGGAGTAGTATCATAGATGCATTGTGCGTGACATGCGCTAGCGTAAGGTTTGGATCCATCCTTGACGATTGCTGAGCAATATTCACTTTCCATTTCTTCGGGAGGAGCATCTTCCAGTGCACCAGTCGTACGTCAAGCTCCTTAAAGCGAGTGAGCCAACCACCGAGATCGTTGTGATCCTTGATATTAATTTTCTGCTGGAGGAAATAACTCGTGACGCGGCTCAATGACTCGGTTGCCTCGATACAATACGCAAAAGCCCCGACTGTCGACATATCAACAGAAGACGCTGCTGCTCCCGGTGATGCCGTTGCTTCGGGAGGTGTAAAACCACCTTCATCAGTGGTAGCTGGTACAGTGGCAGAATGTGAAGGGAGAAACGCGATGGGGTTTCCAATGCGTGCGGCTGATTTATCCCAAATCCCAAAGTATGGGGTCGATACAGACTCTTCTTTCCTCCACGATATTCCGTCACAGGGCAATCGGCGGTTTACATCATCTGAGGTAAGGCTAGTATTCCAGCCTGTGGTGAAGGAGCAGAATCGATCTAGGTTGAAGACACACCAGAAGACTCTTCTTCTCTCTTCAGCTTCTGTCCATTCTTGTGGCGGATTTAGGGAAGTATTTGGTCGAGAAAATGAAGAGCGGTCTGCTTCCTCGCTTTCTATTGTGAGTTGGAGGTATTCAACCATACGAGTCAAAGCACCGATGAGTGGCCAAGCTCGACACTCCTCTCCGTCGCCAATCTAAAAGGCGAATCAGTCATGAGAGTCAATCAAGGATTAAATATAAGCTTACATCGCGAAAACAAATAATTATTAGGGCCTGTAGGTTCTCCACTGTCAGACTCTTGGTAGCTTTGGATACCACCCAGTCTCTCACAGCTTCTTGGTCGCCAATGAGACTCTGTGCTATTTCGGCGATGTCTCTCCTGGGAACATGATACGAGGCACTTAACATCATGGCTTGGAGGACAGGGAGCAGACATCGGTCGTCCCCATGATCTTGACGTCTTTGGCGAAATCGGGCCTCGTGTATCATTGGAATCCATGGGTGTATCTGCCGAAAGTACGCGTCTATGACCAGATCTAGGATGACATCATCGGGTAAACCTGGCTGATTGACGGCATACTGAGACCTTTCTCGATACCCAACATGTTCTTCTGTTCGACGACGTTTACATGTCGAATCAACAGAAGCTTCTGGAGAAGCGGTAAGTGTAGGATTGCCGAGTTTCCATATCTCGCGGGCAAGAGAGGATAGTAGACTCTGTCTATCTACAGCTTCTTGTTGTGAGCTCGCCTGAGTAGTTGACGCCTCTTTGTCGCGAAGGTTTTCTAACTCTTTCTGTTGTTTTGAGATCGTCCGTTCCAATGTATCTTATATCTGATCAGTCATAATATCGTGGTAAATGGGCACTGACCGCACCAAGCCGTTTGTGCACGTTTTCGATGGCGCCGCCTTTCATGCCAGGTCTGGCGCGCTTTGTCTCGTAGACGCAATCTTGCCCTGGCAGGACTTGTTAGATATCCCGTTGTGACGAGGAGCATTATGTCGCCATACCTGTCTTTCGACAGTGTTCGCAGATTGGCGTCTCCCGTGAGCATCGAAGCTTACGTTTCCGACAGCAGTTGCAAGCAAGCCCTGCATCGGGGGCTTGAGCAGTCTGCTCCGGCTGAGTGGGGTCGTCGTTATCCATCCTATCGCCTTGCAAAGAGTGAAAGCACGCCGTACAGTTGTATGTGAGTGTCAAAGATGAGAAGACGGGAGTTCAATTCTCCCGAGTTATTTAGCCCGGGGGCCGCTTGAGATACCCCGAGGTGCCGAACAGCCCCGCACGTTGATGGTGTCTGGCTTATGCTAACCTGGCTTCTCATCGCTCAAGCTGGATCGATAATCGGACCAATATTCACCGAGCTCATCTAAATTAATCTAGCTCTCTCAAAATTCATATTGTTCTTCATCCCGATTGGTAATTTGAGTCACCCTTTTTTCTTCGACATCACAATTCGTGTCTCGTCCATCAGCCTGCCATGCCTGGATTACCCGGCTTTTCTGATAATCCCTTCCGGGATCGTCATGATCTTCTACGTGCAGCCACCGCTATTATCAAACCATTGGGGCAATACAGGTCCAAGTCCAAAGCTCGCGTGAAGCTATTTCCATCGACTGCTGCGGGCTTTGACGATGTCGCCGCCCAGCTTGAAGGTTTTGCTCGTCCACTATGGGCAATATCAAGCCTCGTGGATAAATCCACGGACCCTTCACTACGTTCCTGGCTCCGCGGCATTGAGGCTGGTGTCGATCCAGAGAATCCCGAATACTGGGGTCATCTCGGATCTTTTGACCAGCGCATGGTGGAAATGGAATCAATAGCTTTCGCCTTACTGACGGAACCTCATGTGATTCTGTCATTCTTAAATCCTGAGTCTACGAAGAACCTGGAACAATGGTTGCAACAAATTAACAAGTTTGATATGCCGCGAAACAATTGGCGGTGGTTCCGAGTTCTGGTGAATTTGACACTGATGAAGGCACTGGGGTTCGACAAAGAGAAAGCGAGACAAGCCATGGATGCCGACTTTGAATTGCTCGATCAGTTCTATCTTGGAGAGGGATGGTCGTCGGATGGTGTTTGGGGGGACGACAGGAAGCAGGCAGATTACTACTCTGGAAGTTTCGCCATCCAATTCGCACAGCTACTGTACGTCCACTGCGCAGTAGATGACGTGAAAAGAGTCGCGAAATATCGACAGCAAGCGATAGAATTTGCGTCTGAGTACTGGAGATACTTTGACACAAACGGTGCTGCTATCCCCTTCGGTAGAAGTATGACTTACCGATTCGCCTGCGGAGCTTTCTGGTCTGCCCTTGCTCTCTCCGAAGTCCAATCATCCGAGCCTCGACTTAGCCTGGGTACAATCAAGGGACTTCTCCTGCGGCACTTGCGATGGTGGGCGAAACAACCAGAGATCTTCAATTCAGACGGTACGATGAATATTGGCTATGCATACCCCAACATGTACATGTCAGAGGATTATAATTCCAGACAGTCTGTTTACTGGTGCTTGAAGTCTTTCGTCGTGCTTGGGCTACCATCAGACCACCCATTCTGGACCGTCCAAGAAGAACCCCATCCAATCTATGGCTTGATTCCGAGCGCCAGACACCCCGACACTGCAAGGACCTTTCCAGCACCTCACCAGATAGTATGTCACTCTGAACAGCATCATTATCTTCTATCAGCGGGACAGATGACTACTAAAATGTTCAAAGCCAGAGAAGCAAAGTATGGAAAGTTTGCATACTCTTCTGCCTTTGGATACAGCGTACCAACTGGCATGGAACTCCACCAAATTGCACCCGACAGCACTTTGACTGTGAAATTGGATGAAGATGGACCGTGGAGGATCAGGTCGCAGCCGGTCGATGTTCGTTTCGACACTATACTTATTCACTCTGCAAAAGGCCGTGGTCATCTTCCTTCCACTACTAGCACGTGGAGACCAGTCGAGAGCGTGGACATAGCAATCCAGACGACTCTGATTCCTTTAACTTACCACTACCCGGGATGGCATCTTCGTATCCATCACATAAGAGGCCTTGGAGCCGTCAATGGCATCCCGGGGTTTAACAGCTTCGAAATGGTGGACAGCTCCTTCGCAGTAGACGCGCTCACGGATGCAGGGTATCATATTCCCGAGAACGACACGTCAAAGATTAAGCATCACGGGCAGTTCGCTGAAGGTTATGTTACTGAGCAAGCTAGCGTCCTGGTCAAATCTCGACGCGGAGTCAGTGGCATTGTTGATCTAACACCAAGCATCCACCTCAAAGGAGTCCTTGCCCGCGATCAAGGGAAGCTAGGACGCGGAGGTTATCTGATTCAAGCAGATCCCAACACAAATCTAGTCTCACAGAAGACGTTGATTCCGTCCATTCGGTATTCTGGTGCAGGTGCCATGGGTAATCATTCCAACGTGCCCGTCGCGTCGGAGAACCCACTATCAGCTTTTGTTGCAACTGCAGTGTTTGGCGTGAGCAACGTGAATCAGAGCATGGAGTATGTGCCTAACGACTGGTACTATCTCCAGGACGATTGGGCCTGCAAGAATATGCTAGAGATTGACGTAACAGCAGCTGGTGAAACACATATCAGTATTCAACAGGTAACACCTCGTAGGGCCTCGGGAAGAGGGCTTACGTAGAGCTATACTCAGTTGAAATACAAGGAGAGAACATCTTCATATCTACCCTAAGAGCCTTTCCATATCTACAAGTTTATTGCTGGGATTTTTGCTCTGATTATCGGCTCGTACCTGAAGGTCCCAAATATCAACCCTCCGAAGGGCCTCCTCAGTTATACTAGTCGGGCAACTATAGATCAATATTATATTTAATGTGAGAATAAGAGAAATCAGCATGGTATCAAGGCATCTATTGTCGTAGCTGGGAAAACCTGTATCTAAGTTCTCTCTGTCGATTTAAGCACTCAGCCACGAGTCTCAACTATATAAAACACATCCAGCTAAAAACCTATAGATAACAGGTATCATGATGACTAACCAGGAGAACCCTTATCTAGGCCAGACCCATACTTAGAAGAAGGTTTCCGAACTCGACAAGATAGTAATCGCCGTATACCAGTCCGTGGTTTGCATATCGTCTCCTCGCGTTCTCATTGTTGTTAGCTGTCCCATACTTCAAAAGAGCATCAAACGTGGTCCCCGAGACAGTATCTTCCACTTTGATGGACTTTCCACCGTCTTCAGAGGTGGTCACCCCGACTTTCTCGGTAGCGAGACAAACATCCAATGTGTCCTTGACGATTTCAATAGATGCGTCGAAGAAGTGGCCTGACAACGTGTATCTTCCCAACCCAGCAAGCGCCTGAGATATCAATAACATTCCATTGGCAGCAATGACACCAGCTGATGAATCACGAAGAGGCTCTCGAGGATTCTCAATGGGCGCATCGAAGTCCCAGAGCGGCACATGTCGCCCTCGACGAGCGCTTTTGTGTCCTGAATTGCACTGAACCGGAAGCTCGACACAAGCAGGGGATGTCTCTAGTCTATGCAGGAAGTACTCGGCGCATCCGCAAGCTGCGTCAAGGAACCTTTCCTTTTTGGTCCAGTTGTAAGTCTGTGCATAACCAAGGATAGCCCACGCTTGACCCCTCGACCATGTCGAATCATCGGTATAGCCCTGGGCTGTCCGTCGCCATTTCAAATCTCCTGTTTTGGGGTCAATGTTGGCAACATGGCAAGTTGAGTAGAGTTGCCCCTGATATCCGCGTTTGAGAGTTGAACTCGCAGTCTCTTGTCGAAGATGCGTCTTCAATAATGTTGTTGCATGGGATGAAGCAATGTCAGCGAGTCCCTGTTCACCCGTCTGTGCAGCAGCATAGAATAGCAGGTCAAGATTGCACATGCTATCAATGATGGTGAGTAGATTGTTCTCCATATCTGTGACGGTGATGTCCTTCTTCAGAAGGCAGTCCCAGCTGCGAATGGCACCAGCAGCTAACACATAACGGGTAGCCAAGTTGTGAGCTGCTTGTATGATAGAAACTAAACTTCTTTCACTTCCGAATAGCTCAAAGTCTCTCCGGAGGGCCGGCATGATGATAAAGCCAATGTCGTGGGTGTCTGTTCTGCTAGCCATGGCATGAAGTGGCTCAGACCATGACTTGCATAACGGGAGTAAATGGCCCCTGGTGATCATGGATGATCCGTGTCCGGGGCTGCCGGCCCTGATCGATCCCGGGTATCTGATGGATCGCTCGAGCAACGTGTACAGTGTTCCCGGGAAAAAACCACATGTCCAGAACTCAGGTTCGCGAATTTCCCATCGCCCTTGTTTCGGGCCTTGCTGGGGCACGATTTCGGGGAAACCATGGTGTCCCGGGTCAAAGCCTTGCAAGACCCTACTCGCTGCACGATATGGTTTGGCAAGGGTATTCTCATCAAAAAGATCTGATAGAAATTTGTCTAGAGCAGGTCTCTCATGGCTGTTTTCTGCTGCTTCTTCTGACCATGAGGTTTCACTCAAAGATGCATGCTCATACTCGATCGTGGATGATGCAGACGAATCGCTGAATATCATGTCACCACGTTTGGCAGTAGGTACAAATAGTTTGCTAGCTGCAATTGAGGTGTCTTGTAGTAATGGAATCATTATGGAAATTGCATGGGGAATCAAGGATAGAATCTGCAGTCGCAACCTCCAAGTTCAAGGCCAGATGTTTATCTAAATGAGTCCTCACTTGTAGTCTAACTGCTAGTGCTTACTAAAATGGCATTACAGGTCATTCCCATAGTTGAAGTGGACCGACCGTCTGAGATAGCCCGCCTCCCTCTGGTGGCGGAGTATGTAGCTCGGTCTGCGGACGAATTCGGATGCTGCTTCACACCAATTAACTCTTCACAAATAAGGCAACCAACACAACCCAGAGTTGCAGTAAGTTTAATCGTCTCGCGGGAAATCAGGGCTATACTCTTCGTGACCTAAACTAATAGGCAAATTTCATGATGTTATAGTCGAGGTAAGGCGTGCCATGCAAGCATTAGCTTTCGGTCCACTCAACTCAAAATAACGCTCCCACGAACCTATCCCATGCAGCATACTAATTAACGGCACAATTACCCGAGATGCCCTAATGCCTACCAGAAGTCGGGGTCAAAAGCGTTTTCATGTCCTGATTTGCATTTCGCCCCTACTCCCCCATCCTTTCTAACCAACCAGCACCTAACCCAATGTCTATCCTCCCAGAGACTTTGTCCGAAAGGCCAATCATCAGTCCATTCACCCTGAAGAAACTCGACACTGTCGAAGTTCTTGCCGACCTTGGCCTTTATTAGACCTTGGAACAAATCAAGACCTTCTTCGACATCTAAAATGGAATCCAATGCATGTTTCTTCTTATCTTCATAGCCAGTATTGTTCATCAGTAGCTTTTCATCCAACAAATTTAGATTAACAACCAGCCTTCTCAATTCGGGTAAAGTCTCAGCAAGGATGTGCAGCTCCTCTTGAGGTAAGGTCCCGTTTCTTCGTTCGAGATCAATCGTAAGGCTGGTCAAACCAGGTATCCATTTGCAAAGGCTGCGCAGCTGATCCTCACTTAGTACTGGCCTGGGCTTGAATCCTCTCTCATGGTTCGTCCACTGGAGATGTTGCAGCGAGGATCCGTGATGCTTCAAAACAGGATTGAAGATGTCCTCATGGACAGTTTCACTCTCTTTCCAGATGAGCTGCTTCAATGTTGGAGGTAATGCCAAGATGAAATCGAGGGCCGGAGGAGGCGGTGAAGAAGACCACTTGTTCTTTGGTAATGGCCCTGGGGCAGCTTCCCACTCCGCCAGATGTTTCCTCCAATTTAACCACCGACCTTGAATAGAGAGATTCTCGAGAACTGTTAATGCTCGGGGAAGGTCAACGAGTAAACTTTTCCCTTCTGGCCGAGTGTTCCCATAATCGATTGACAAGGTGTGCACCTTGGAGAAGTCTATAGCTTCCAACCAGAGCTGCATGTTTTCCATTGATAACCTTTCAATCGATGTATGTCGTCGATCATACCGCCTTCGTGCAATTCCGTCTCCATGTCATGCAGAGTAGCCTGCCAGGCCAGCGGGATATTTGAATTTGTATGACAGCTCACCCGATTTCCATCGGCCACGATAATATATTTCTGTTGCTCTTCTTATAAGAGCATTTGTGGAACTCGACACTGGCCATGTGCCATCATCGTTTGCCCAATGTGGTGTTCCTGACCGCATATATTCCAACTCGGATTTTTTAAACTCGTAGTCATATAACGATAGTACTTGTGGCGCCGATAGATAGCGATTGCTTCCGTCCGGCCGGAATGGCAGATTATAACCATCGGGAAACTCTGTGCAACTTGGCCCACCATTCCTCAGGTCGAGCTCAGTGATGTTGCTGCATGTTTTCATGGTGTTGTGCACAACTTCCCATCTGCCGAATGGCTGGTACGATGGCACGATTGATCGAAGGATCGAAGGACATGGGTCTTTGTCAGTCCACAGTGGTGGCTCGGGCCATCTGCTCGCGAATGCGGACAAAAAGGAAGATGCAAGGAGTAGAAACATAGTAAAATACCTCCTGGCTGTTACGTGCGGCATTTCTCATTACTTCTGTTAATGTTGTAGAAGTAAGATTGCGGATTTTCGAAGGATTCATAATGTTGCTGATGACGTGTTGGCTGAGAACACCGTGTTGTCATTTATTACCTATTTTCACAGCCTAAAGCTTAACCTTATAGGCGGCTGTTAAATCACTTAATACATTGCTTGCAACTCCTGTAATATAGAGATACACTACTCCTTTGCAGAACCTTGCCCCGGAACTGAAAACAGATTGAGATTGCATGGACCGTAAAGATACTAACGGCCAGGTATATTATGGCATTTCTCGGGCCACTTGGTTTGGTCCATGGCTGGATACAAAAGCTAGACACGCCGCCATCAACAATGCGCACAAGGTTGGACAATTGACTTGTGATGAGGTTAGGGTTTTAGAAGAGGCTTCAACCCTCAGGGCACAAAGGGAAAGGACACCAATAAACACATACGGGCAAAATAACCCTTGCCCTCACTATTGCGTAGGATCTAGATTTTGGCTGGGAAGCTAGAAACCCTGATGGACAGTTGGACAATCCCGTCCTCGAGCTCAGGATAGGAGCCAAGAGCATAGCCTAGACCGATGGGAGGGCAAACGTTGATCTAGACGCCGATGAGAAAAAGTCCAATACATGGCAGGATAGAGTAGACATCTGTGCTGGCGCCGACGCCGTACAGAAGTCAGCCAGTTGCTGCTAGAAGTGGCACTAGGAGGTACACTCATAGCTTGTTCTCGGGCTCGCAAATTCCATTCCTCTTGTGGGCCTAGGAATTAGTAGCTAGTAGGTCAGTGTACCGCCAATAAGCACTCTCATAAAGCTTCCAATAATGGGAGCGTATATACATAAGGACCATTTGGGCAGCTGTGAAGTTATAAGGTGGAATGGAGAAGAAGCTTGCTTGAGTAGTTATAATGACACTCGCGACAAGAGTCGATATAGTGATCTGGAAACTTGCCCATAGGGCATCAGGGAGGCACTACTAAGACATCCATTCAATCATCATTGCCATGTTCAAAATGAATGTCCGGGTGATACAACGCCACCCAGTTGGCATCAAAAGTGTATATCACATAGCCCCAACTTTGCAAACTCATTTGAAAGCCTTGTTGAGTGACGTTCTCAGACTACACTAAAATTCTTGAGGGGCTTGGTCCAGTGAAATCGAAAGCTGTGATGCCAGGAAGGATCACAGGTGGGAAGTCAAATGGCTTTCCAGAGCGAATATGAACATTCTTGTATATGGAATAACAAAAGTCCAGCCATTCTCGGTACCAATAATATGATGACTCTTTATATTTCGACGCGACCTGTCATCAGAGAAAGTGACTGGAGCAGATATATGTGGCGGTGCCAAATAGATGTCTTCAAATTAGGCAATTAGAAGCTCGGGCTTTCTGAAGATATCTGCAAAGGCATCGAACTCCCACTCAGGAATGGCTGTTGCAGGCTGTGACATTCCGCGACGGACATTACCTTTGTTGATGTCACACCAGTACTCGAATACCTCATCCCAAAGATCTTTTGGCTGTTTGTTGGTGTTCGGTGCGGATTCCTTAACTCGTAGAGGTTTCGGCTCGTCTCCTTGCCCGCCCAAGACCCCATCGGGCCCCAAATTGTAGTTCGTTCTCCCTCAGCCTCATATCGAGTGTTCGCTTCATTGGAAGTCCATAGGCCTGTTGGGCCTAGGAGGGCAAGATGGGCTGTTTTTTGAGTCGAAGACTTCGGCTTCAGAGAAAAAAGAAACGTCGAATTCACCTAGGGTATCAGTCGAATTGGTTGGGCTAAGTGAAGAGACAGTAATGCCAGCCAGGAACTTGCTACGGCGAACCTGCGGCCGGGGGGTTGAGGAAGTAATACCAATAGTCAGACTGCCTCCTGCTATGCTGGCACAATTGAATGACATAACGGGACCGGTAACTGGCCCACACTGCGCGAAGACAAATTTCTCAAGTCTTAGACCACCACTTTTCGGTGAAGTTACAGAAGCAATAGAGTCCATATTGGACAGCTCATATGTGTACAATGTCTCTGTGCCCTCTTGATATTGGCAATGAGACATGTATCTTTGATCCTACCTAACCTCGACTATGCTATCTTGAGGATATTGTTTGGCTTTGTTACTATCTCGTTACTGAAAGAACTCGCAAGGCCCATGATGCACCGTTGATTAAAAACTGAGTGAGTTATATAGCTCTTGATTGTGTTCAGTTGCTTATACGGCGTACAGCTAGTCAGAAAGTAGATGTGGTCGGCGATATCTCTTTTTGAGGCCCCTATATGCCTTCTCATTAATGGGAGCTTTATGAGCTAAATCCACTCTAATAGTCTCTGATATCATGGGTGGGAGAAGTGCAGATGAGAGAGTGGAACAGTCCTGTTAAAGTGCTGCACTCTTGAATGACGACTGAAAGCTCTTTGGTAGGAATCGCAACAATACGAATACAAGATTGAAATCGGTTACTGGTGTAGATATTGCGGCCCCAGCCCAGATTGGCTCTCCAAACGAGCTAGGCCCATCGCAAAGGCCACAACTCATGACAGACAATCCACGGGGGTTTTAATAGCTGCTGAAATATTTGACCTGGCTTTTAGCTTCATGGGCCGATGAGGCAGTTGCCTTGAATCTGAAATGTACTTCAGATTGTCTTATAGTGAGGAATGAAAGGTGACGGCGCTCATACCATCAACAATGACGTGATGGGCGAAAAACGCGATACCCAGCCTCGAGAGAGACACATACTGGGAATTTGGAAAATCCGAGTCGCGGACATGCTTCATTAAAACAATTCTCCAGGCTAGTTTATCAGGAGAAAACAACTCAGCATACTCCTATCTAAGAACTTAAGCCAGGTGTTGAGAAACGGGACTGTGTTTATATATATCCTTCCTGCCACTTCGCAAGACTACTGTTACAGGAAGATCCAGATCGACCCAAGGATCATGGAAACCGGGCTCCTACTCAAATCAATCGGGTTGGCTTGCCAACGAGACAGGGGCCTGTCAGATTCCTTGTCAGCTTACGGTTCAAGCGTTTCGAAATTTTATTCGAGGAGGCTAGAATCTGTCTATATCTTAACAGTATAACCGTCTCTTTATTCACTGAAGGAATGGACCTGCAGACAAATGAAAATCTCTATCACAAAACCTCCTCGAACTATAACTATGTATTGCGCTGAAACTATTGTTATATTTTGACTATGACCCAGGGCGCGGAATATGCGGAAAGCCCAGCGTCATCTCGCTCTCTGACTCGCAAAGACTTTTTCTCCTGCCATTAAAATACTTTGAGGGATGAAAAACGTGAAAGCCGATGCTGACAATAGCCATGGGAATTGCATCGAGGACATAGAGATACACCTCTTTAGATTGCAGCTCTCCATCACGTCCTTCAACGTACTCAATCATTCGAAAAAGCGATCGTACGAGGATGAGTGCGCTGGCTACGGAAATGACGACCATGAACTTTTGCCAGCCGTAAGGCTGTACTAGAGACTTGTTGAGAAATAGGAAGTGGAACGATGTCGCCAGCGCAATAAAGAGAGTGAAAAACACGAGCTGTACCATTATGCCAGCAGTTACAACGCTTTCCACTGTCGTCTCGTTGTCTGCGGTGTCAACCTTGACGAACTTTCCACCATCTGAAAATCGTTAGTCATGGCTATTATGTGACTGATATGCAGACTTACCAACCGCTTGCAGCGCAATTGATACTATGTCGCCAACGAGGAAGACTTTCGTCAGCCAGTTCGGCTTAAGCAACGAGAACTGCTCCCCCTCCAATTTTCGGATGTATCGTCCCAGACCCATGTAGATGGATGCAGCATAGCATGTGGGTCCCAGAAGAAGAAGTAAATTCTGTACAACACAGGGACCAAAGGTGTAGTTCGGCGACTCCCGGGCACTGACTGCGCGACTAACAAAAGCAATGGCCTCGACTGATGAGTAGACTCTGTTAGCCATCGGTCGAAAAGAGCGGGATAAAAAGGTGGACTTACACAGTGAGCCAACTAGAAATGGCACGAAGAACCATGTTCTTGTTCTAATGGTTTGGAAGAGGTGAACAGCAAATGACAGAATAAAGATGACTGCAAAAACCGCTGCTACAGGAAGAGAAGGTTCGTAATAATAATAATTTACCATTATGTCGTGAATCACTAGCGACAGGAAATAAGTATAAAGTAAACAGAGCGAAACGGGAGTTCTAGTTCTTAATGCAAAGAGGCGTTCTTATAAGCACAACAAGACAAAGAGATATCTCAGTCCCAGCCAACTTCGGACACATTCCTAGGTATAAGTAGTGGAAGCGTCAATAGAATTGTTTTGCTTCAAAATAAGAAACTCCTGGACATTACGTATGTCACTGCTATCATAAAGCTGGAAGGTTATTATGATGCACATTAAGTATGTGTTTCATACTTATAGATGCTCTGATTGGTTTCTTAATGACCAGATAATCATCAGTATGGAGACGCTCTCGGCAGAGGTAACTTTAGTTAGCGCAGATCCATTTTTCCTTTACCCTTCACTACCGAAACAGGCACGATCAAGCTTTGGCTCTAGGCGCTATGTCTGCAGATAAACGGTAGCTAAGGAATGTCTGATATTTGCTGTACTCACCAGTCTAGCTCTGCCGTGATTGCACTCATTATCTGAGACACGGAAAATTGTTCTTATCTTATTTAAATCTGGGTTTCTTACCGGGACTGTATATTTAGCGCCAGGTTGCATTCCTTCTAACCTTTAAACTCCACCTTTACTAATAATAAAAAATTAGAAGTCTTAGATTAGATTGGCAAGAGGATGGTACTTTTACTTTTTAGCAGTAAATTTCTGTTGTTAAATTGTTATTTAAATACCTATATAATTATAGAGCTTTTGAAGACAATAGCAGGAGCTAGTATTAAATTAAACTCTTTAAGGCTATTTTCCTATAACCTTGCCTGTAAAAATTGGATTTAGTCTTTTCCTACAGTATTCTTGCAGCTATTTACATTAAGCCCGGTTTTCACAGCTTTCTACCTGCTGTCTTGGGCCGAACCTGAAACTCGAAATCTAAGCCTAGCCAAATAATGAACTTTAGTTGTTTGAACTTGGCTAATGCCTGTGTCACCCAAGTCCTCAATTTCTCATCAGATTGTGGGTTGGACAGGTCCTCTGATGCAGGTTCCGAGAATGCGCATAAGTAGAACTACTTGACTGGCACCATCATTGAACCCAAATACACATGACGAACAGTACGGCACTGTTGCCTTACACTCAACTAACCACCAAGCAGCCTCGGTGCGTTGTAATTCTCCTAGTGGCATCTGCCACTACAAGTCTGATATTACAGGCGTTTTGGCAATTAATTCACTTAAAAGCCTCTCAACACAGCTTTATTAGCGAGAAGTGTAGTCTTTATGCCCGTTTTAGTACATGCTCTGTATTCCGAGGCTTACTTTCTCGTCGAGTAATTATCAGTCTAACAAAGTGCAGGTTCCCTCCTATGTTTACTAGCGTTAACATTGCCGCACCTAGTGGGACTGCTGCCAGTCTTATTGAAGCCATGAGTATATTTCCTATCATACTCATACAATGGCACAACCATTCACACCCAGGATATAGAAACAGTGGTTTGGTTTAAGCCATGACTATTAAGTGAATGATTGGTTCGACTTATCGGATAGAACAAAGCCTATTACGATAACTATATATAGCATTAAAAGAATACTCCCTTTAAAGTAATTGCTTTTGCCCTCGTTCTGCATGTATCCATATAAAAATACAGAAAGGATAACGACAAATATATCCTACTGAGGGAACAATAAAGAAAAGATTTGATCCTTTTGCATAGGCCTAGGTGAGAGAAAGACCGCCGAAAAGAAGACTAAAGCAGGTATTTAAAGGAGGGGACTTAGAGAGCGTTGACCGAACCAATCTCTAGGGATAACGCAATATCGTCATTGGCGGCAAATAAAATGGCATTCTATATATATGAGCGTGTGACGAGCAAGCAGTAAGGAGAACTTACCCAGGTTTCAGTTACGTTTACTATCAGTGCAGATACAGTCAGCCCCAAAGACTTTTCCTCAATGTAAAGTTCTTGAAGAATAGTATCCAAGGCATCGATAAGGATAACCGCAAGAATATAATACAGCAACGTTGCAGTAAGCATTATGAGCAAGCTCTTCCTTCTGCTCCCGTTTGGGACGTGTTGCGTCGTATCTTGGGGAAAGTGTGCTTTTTCTGTAATTCTAGAAGGATGAGTCGCTGGTAGTGCCTGATCAGTCTATTGACTGAGTTAAAGAGCTTCAGAAATCACATTACACCTTGTTGGGCTGATTACTCCAGATGATGACGCCTTGTGATTCTTTCTGGAATATGATGGCCTTCGATGGAAATGTTAAAGGTCTGCTGTGTGTCTTTGGTGGGAAGTAATAACGTCCTGCTGGGCAGAGGATCTACTGGCATTAGTACTTTCGCCCTCATTCCAGATCACCGCTGAATACGTGCGCAGGGTGAGCCACAGCCTGATAACATATGCTAGCAACAGTCGAAAGGAGCAGAGGTAGCTGAATGGTCTAAGAATCTCAGCGTACAGAGTATCATTCAAGTCCAATGGCTGTAATACAGAACACGTATGACAACCGTCGCTGGGTGCCAGGGCCTTAGGCATGCTGTGTGAACAGCTTTCACACCTCATTACATAAGTCCCATAAATTGTGTAAAATAGTGTAGGGTTAAACACCCCCATTATTGCAAAAAGCAGCATCGTTGAATCAAGCACTGGCAGACTGTGCATTGGATCGTTGTGTCTTCCGCTTGAGTGCACCAAAGCACATAGAAATCCCAGGAAGAAATAAGACACCTGCCAAGATACTCCCGATGATGCACCCCTCGACGAGCCCGCGTTTTCCGCGTCCGAGCGCAAAATTGTAGGTTCTCCCCGCCCTGTGCTTGGAGTTAGGCCAACGGCTAACTTTACGTGTCAGGACCATCTTCTGGCTTAGGACGGCAAAGGTTCTAGTATTCTGCCCTATCAATATCATCATCGCCATCGCGCTGCACGACAACGCTTTCGATTCGGAGCACCTTACAGGCGCGTCGCGTGTGTTCCGCCTGGAGACCTGGGGCGCCACTCAGTGCACCCGTCTTCGATGGAAGCAATGGATGCTGAAGGTTCCAGTCTTCCGAACGACGTATCCCACTCTCAGAGATGATCTGAAGCGACAGACTCTCGAGATGGGATCCAAGAACCATTAGACTACAAAGTACTTCCAGAGGACAACGGCCAACGGTGCGGCGAACGGTATGTCTATCCCAGGAGTAAGGTTGAGAGCAGAGCAGGATGTACTCACTGGGTCTTAGGCGGAGCGCCGGATCCGGTTCAAGATCAGATTATGCGCCACGATCCTTGCTTCTTTAACTTTTGGGATGCCTATCTCAATCAGAACGTTAAATTCGACCTATAGAATGCCCTCCTCGGTGAAGAGCAGGAGGAGGAGCTCTTCTTGCAGTTTGCCCTTACCGGCCTTACCTGTGATCCCCGCGCGATAAGGAACATGGTGCCCCAGTGAGGTATAGGCGATGCTGCTACTGGACCTGGAGGTTTAGGCACTGGAGGAGGGATGACCTGAGCTAAAGAACGGTCGGTATTGGGTTTAGGGCTCTAAATATAAGGCCGAGATCCGATGTCTTACTGAGGAGATTAGCCGGAAGAATATGCAGTGCGATGAGAGGATCATTACAAGCCATTGTAAGCACTACTTCTAAAACCGTTCGATTTGGGATATTGATAGACTGTTCTGGGGTGAAGGGGAAGAAGAGTATATTGAGCTGGAGATTTACCTTTAGATTCCCGAGCGCGCCGAGCTGGCGAGGCTGCTACGCAACCAGCCGAAAGACCTGTCCGATGAAGAACTCTTCCAGCTGAGAATCAAGGTCCCCGACCTAGTTGTGGCTCTATGTGGCAGGAGAGAGACGGGTATGGCGGGCAAGAGAGGTTCAGGCAAACGAGGCTGTGCTCAGCGCATATCTCAGCCAACCCTCCCGCTTATTAAATAGGAGAGCCTGGTGCAGATCCAATAGCTAGACCCAGACCCCTTTCCTATCCTCATGGACCCGGAGGAATGCCTGGATTGCATCGGCGATAAGCGCATGACTCTGCGGGAACGCATGTTTCGGTACTGTCGACCTACTGTCAGGAATGATCGCATTAATAATGCTTACCTGGAGGATTGCGAGTATGCTGAGCGGCGAGGCAAGGCGATATAATGCCACCACCTTAAGTGCGAGGATATAAAGCTTTAGGACCTAGATCATTTCAGGAACCACGTCTAAACGGTCTATGGCGTGCCGCTTAGGTCGTCTATGTAAGTTAAGAAGAGATGAGAAAAGAAGGATAAACACTGCCGGGTGGTAAGATAAGGGAGTAAGGGGCTTGTAACGTGCCAGGGATAAATAGATCAATAAAGCGATAGATTCGATGACCTAATAACTCCATGGTATAACTGAAGGGGGTAACGAGAGAAACTTTACTGTATATGCCGCTTCCCACAAGATTTCTTGACGCTCACGCGAAAGAAAAATGCATGTCTTTGGCAATCCTCCTGTAGTCTAGACCGTTTGGGAATATGAGGAGCAAGAAATTCCTATGATGCCAACCTCAATACTACCTATTTGCATCATTATCAGCAAGGTCAAGGCGTTGTGCTAAATTTAGGGTTAAAGACGTCAGTGGATGGGCATCACAGGGACAAGCTAAATTCATCTGTATGCATCAGAACCAATTCAAAGCCAAGCAGTGCTTTTTCTCAGGTGTGTTCTATATCAATAAGACAACTCTGGCTCGGTTCGGGCTGGCTTCCTATAGACAAGGCGCCCTCTTGATCATTCTACCGCCACCGGCCCGTTCTTTTTAATAGTATTCCATTTTTTGCTTAGAGTTCTCATCGCTTCGGTCTCTTCTAGTACCTTGGGTGTCTCTGCCAGTAGCAATTATGAATTGAAAGGGCAGAACAAGGTCAATGAAGCCAGGACTGGAGTCCGGCAGTCTAGCTGGGGGGCGAGGTATACATAGCTAGTTCTTCATTTTTTTAAATCTCCAAATTCAGCAGATGCTATACAATAAAGGGCGAAATGGGTGTCGCGAGTTTTGCTACATAAGGATTCTACAAGGACCCATTTTCGGCCCTCAGTAGTTTCCCCACCTTGTCACATTGTATCTCTGAAGTTTCGTTACGGATCTGGATATCTAAGTTTAGCATAGCCAATTTGGTCCCTCATTAAATGTAGTCCAGTTTCGCCTATTTGGATGCAAGTTGGGAAGGGCAGCCCAGTCTTCGCCGCCCCCAAAGCCGGGAGCAGCTTACCCTATACATCTGGCGTGAAGAAAAAGTCATTTGGTACATCACGTGCAGGAAACACGTGATATAGGTAGCCTAAAGGATTTCCTCGCTACTGGCTGCAACAGAAAATCCAAGCTTCGTCTATATACTGAATTTGACTGCAACAACAGCTTCCGCACACCTGTTGTGCGCAAATACGACCCCATTACCGGCCTCGTGTGACATTTGGCCTTTGCAGCTTGCATGTGCCACGTTACTTCAGAGGCGATCCTCATGCCTTGAAGAGGCTGGTGGTCTGGGGATGGGGTTAGATATAGGTAAGGGTTAAGAAATATACTAAAAGGCCAAAAGGGTAGGTTTATATATTTATACCCTAAGGTAGAAAACCACTAGTATTAAACATTTACAAATAGTAAATAGATCTACCTCCTATTATATAAGTAGAAAAAGCCCTAAAGTTTTTAACCCTAAAGTATAAAGTAAAAGGTTATAAAGAAGATAGGGTATATAGTATTATTATTATTATTATAGTAATTTTTAACCCTAAGGTATAAATAAATAGCCACTACCTTAAAGCATTAAGCATTAAGTATTAAGTATTAAGCAATAGCATAAATTAAGTTTTTATATCTATAGGTATAAAATTTAAAGTTATTAAGCTAGAACTAAAGTAAGGCTATTAACTTTTATATTTTTCTATATTACTTATACCACTATATCTTAAAGTATTATAGGCATAAAACTACAGCAAAAGGTTTCTTTTTATAGAATATAGCTTTAACTCTATAAAAGATTAATAAGGATCCTAAAGGTAATAATAATAATAGATAGCAGAAATAGGCTAAAGATAATAAAATTATTATTATTAGTATTTATAGCTATTTATATATTTACTAAAGTAAATATACCTTAAAAAGAAGTAATTATAGTAATAAGAGAGAAAGCTATTTAGGATAGTATTAGGTTGGTTAGGGGAATAGATTTATTTATAAGTCTATAGATAATAAGTAATAACCTTAGTTTACTATAATTTACTTATAGAAGTTAGCTAATATCCTGGCTACCCTATATAGAATTAGTAATATTATATTAGTATTTTATTTATATAGAAAATAGAGGTATAGTAAATTATAAATATAATATATTAGCTTCTATATAATATAAAATAAAAGAGAAAAGGCAGTTTTACCTATTTAAGGTATAAATAAAAATAAGAGGGTAAAAGAAAATAAAATTATATCTAATTTATAGTTAACTTCCTTAATAAGAAAGCCTAACTATAAAGCTAAGATAATAGTAAGGATGGGATAGTAAAAGGAAAATTAATACATTATAGATTATAAATAATAAGGATACCTTAATTAAGGTTATATATTTATTTCTAACTATTTTAAGTTAAGACTAAAGATTTAAAGTTCTATTATATAATTAAAAAGATAATATAATATAGATAAACCTAAACTAGATATATAACTATAGCTAGCTTATATATCTATCTTTCTATATCTATTTATATATATTATTAAAATAAGGCCTTACTTTCTTTTATATCCTATCTTATAAGATCTATTAATTTATTTTAATAAGATATTAAATTTATAGCTAAATGCAATCTAATCTTAGGCTATTTCTAGATAATAAAATAATTACTAAAGAATTCTATTAACTATTTAACTAAAATAGATATATCTATAATAATCTAATATATTACTATATAATTACTATTAAGTAGCCTACCTCTATAAAGCATAAATATAACTTCTTTTATATTATTAAATAAAAAGAGATCCTTTAAATGCTTCTAGATCTATTTTACTATAATATCTCTATTAAGTTAAATATCTTAATTAATATTCCTATTATCCTTACTATTACCAATAACATTATAAAGATAGAATAGGTTATTATTATTATTATTTTCTATATTATAGCCATTATATAGATCTATCTTAATAATAAGGCATTAAACTAATAGGGTAATAGGTTATACTATTTTAAAATCATATTAATTAAACTAAAACTCATATAGCTAATATAGCTTTACCTAGAATATATTCTTACTATAGTATACTTTATAAGCCTTTTTTACTATCTGCCCCCCTTTCTTATTCTTGCCTATAAATAGCTTCTAAAGCAGTAAAACTCTATTAGCAATCTCTAGATTTATTATATTATTATTATCTCCTTCCTTAATAATAACCTATTTAGGCTAAATAAGGTATTAATTAAATATAGATTTACATTATATTAAAGATAGCTTTAAGAATTCCTTTACAGTTTAGTCTTAAAGTATCTTATATACTACTATAAACTTATCTATAAAGAAAATAGCATTATTATTATTACCTAGCCTATCTATTATAAATAATAATATAGATATTAGCATAAAATGCTTTAAGTTACTTAAGTTAAAACTTAAAGTTAAGAATACTTAAAAGAGAAAAAAGGGGAAAGAAAAGAGAAGAAATAAAATAGTAAAATCCTCTTCTTATATTAATATATAACTAGCTTACTAATAATACACTTAATTTATATAAGGTAATAGATTTATATTTTAGCCCTATTTAGTAAGGATCCCTAAATAATTATACCCCTTTAGTTTAGTTACAATCTCTATAATAGATAATAATCCCTATAGGATATTTAACTTAAGCTATATTCCTTTATCCCTGATTTTATATATAATTTATATAGCTTTTTCTATACTTAAAATCTATATTTATTATTTAAGACTTTAATAATTACTAGAACCTTAATCTTTATATATTTCTAAATTAAATTATTTATAGGCTAGAAATTTTATTAGGATTAAGGCAGCTCTATTTATTATTAACTATTATCTATTATCCTATATATAAGGGATAAGTAACTGTAAAATAGTATTATTATTATTAATAACTATTAGTAAGCCTAGAC